CCTTGGGCAACCTGTTCCAGTGTCTGACCACCCTCACAGTGAAGAACTTCTTCCTAATATCTAATCTAAACCTACCCTCTTTCACCTTAAACCCATTTCCCCTTTTTTTGTCACTAACTGCCCTTATGAAAAGTCCCTCCCCAGCTTTCTTGTAGGCCCCTTCAGGTATTGGAAGGCCGCTATAAGATCTCCCCAGAGCCTTCTCTTCTCCAGGCTGAACAGCCCCAACTCTCTCAGCCTGTCCTCATAGCAGAGGTGCTCCAGCCCTCGGATCATCCTGGTGGCCTCCTCTGGACTTGTTCTAGCTGCTGCATGTCTCTCTTGTGTTGGGGGCTCCAGAACTGGACACAGTACTCCAGGTGGGGCCTTAGGAGAGCGGAGTAGAGGGGGAGAATCACCTCCCTTGACCTGCTGGCCACCCAACACTGAGCTACCCTGCCAGTGAGCCAGCTAGGTATGGCCCTAACAGCAGAAGTCCTGTCTGCCTTGTTAAGGATCAAGCAAAAAGCCCCTAAATCCCCGTGCTGCACTCAGAGCTCAAACACCAACCACCACTTTCCTATTCCTGCCCTTGACGTGCAGCGCAGGGCTCCCTGCACAACACCGAGGTCCGTGCTGGTGGCTGCCTCTTGTTCCTTCAAGTAAGCTTCCTGCTGGTTAACAGCTAGCCACTGATGCAGCTGTACACTGATCTTCTCAGAGCTCTAACTCAGCAGGCAATATGCGTTCTAAAAGCACTTCACTCTTCCATGACCACTGAAAGGCTGACCAGTCCGGCCAGGGATCACAAAGTTTCTTACCCTGCCGAGTACCTCTCCAAATGGCAATTTCACAGCGTTCATCATACTGAGTTCTGAATGAGTCAAGGCTAGCTAAAGGCATAGAAAGTTGGGTGGTTTGTTTTTTTCCCTTCAGGTTTAATGCTAAGATGCCTACAGTGTATCCTAATTCTGCAACAGGGGAACTTTTTTAAAAAAAATATAAACCCCAAGACGTTGCAGGAAGGGGTGTTGTGTCGAAATGAACGCTGCCCCTGGGACCGGGAACGGGAAAAGGCAACTCATTACATTCAAAATCTACAGAACTCTCAGGCATTCCCTTTCCAGAGAGGCTTACTTTTTCCTTCTTAATGTTCTAGCCTGGCAAAAAAATGAAGTGCAACAGCTAATTCTAGACAGAGGGTCTAAGAATGAAAACATGACAACCTTGGTGCAATCCAAGAAATTCAGTTGAGCTGGTGGAAGAATTTTACCTAAGTATCAAGTGCATCTTTAATTTTTTTTTTTGCTGTTTACACTTTAGTTATTGCTCAATAACTATCAAAAAAGAACAGAGGAATACTTTCAGTTTAGTTTTATTATATTATAACAGATCTGCAACTACAGCTTATTTCAGCCAAAACATTTTTGTATTCCAAACTCTTAAAAAATATCTACATTAATCATATTTTTCTATTCTTAAAAATAAAAAAACATCTACTTGGCATACCAATGCTGCTACAGCACTTCAAAGGGTGCATTACTCATGTAAATTCTACGGTACATGTAATTACTCTTGCAGTCATTGTTCTTCTTTTTCTTCTTCTCCGCTGCTTTGGCTTCAGGTTTCAAAAAGTTTGTTAAAAGCTGTTCCAACTTCTGAAACCATGTCAGAGGCAGTCATTGAACGTCCAAATTTTTGAAAAGCTTGGTGGTTAGACTGCCTGGTAAGGGAGCAAGCTCCAAATGCAGCCACTAGAAAGGGATTTTGACTGAAAGAGGGGAAAAAAACAACGCATTATAAACGAAATCTGAACACTCTTGTGTAACTCACAAGGTGGCGGACACAGTCTTTGTACCCGTAGATGTTTGCCAGCGTTGTCAGGAAGGCCTCTTAAGCAAACACCCGTGTTTCTCAGATTCCTGCACTGCAGAGCACCTTTGGCTGAGCTGTTTTTACCACATACCTCCCTTCCCGGGCCACAGCACGTCACTGAGTGAGAAACACCACCAGGGCTGAAGGATGCCAAAAGAAAACGTGCTTGCTTAAAAAGTGGGTAAGATGGTGTTCCATGTCTAGGGTTACCTACGTGAAACTTCATCCCTTCCTTCAGAGGAAGACTGCAGTCTCACCTGGCAGCCGTTTAATGTCCCTTTTCTCCCCACTTGCTGGGTAACTCAGTTTAAATCTCTATGGCAGGGGGTGGGGGCAGGATGTGGGGATGCAGAGAAGAGATGGTTTCTAACAGGACCACAGTCACTGCTCTGGGACCTTCATTAGATCTGCTTACCAGGGGTACAGTGACGGCTGTAGACTGCAGCAGAAATCAAGGCCCACTCTCTCAATGCCTCCTTCATGCTTATGAGCTGCCTAAGAGAGTGTGCCCAGCCCGAGTCCTCCAGTGCTGAACCTGCCCCGCCACCTCCAGAGCACCAGCGCACAGGCTGGGCCATGGGGGCTGCTTCGGCTGCTGTTCACAGCACCAGGGCAGAGAAAACAACTGCAGAATAATTCAGCTGCCAGCCCTGGGCACCAGTTCCTGACTGGTTAAAAACCTCACAAAGCTCAGTCGTGGCCAGGACACGGCTACCTCTAAGTCACTAAGGACCCACTCACTCCTGTACCAAGTAAGAGTTTTGTGAAGGACCACAGTGTAAAACACAGGCAAAGCAGAATATGAGTTTACAATCAGGTGTTAACAGGGCAGCTTTGAGTATCTTCTCCTTGAAAACTGCAACTTCATACACTCATCAAGGTGCAGGAGTGAGTATTTATGCCATCTAGAGAGTCAATCCTGGATGCCCAAATCCTGCTCTGAAACAAGAGCTGTGCACCAGCTTCTGGGCTCAAGACAGCTAAAGCACCGATTTCTAAGGTTACTGTATAACCAGTTCAGCATACACCATACTCCAAAGATACCCTCTTGGCATCCTGCCTACTTAACAGGAGAGTCCTCACTACTACATACCATTAGCACCCCTAAAAACCAGTACAACCTTAATGTTTCAAAATCCTGCTCTGCACAGACCCATTCTGAAACAACAGAGCCAGGCACAAGTGTGGAAGGACTGGCTGGACTGCCTGCAGTGCAGTCTACAAGCTGGTGCCCTGATTCACTGAACCCAAAAAGCTCCTCCTTTCCTGAAACATAAGAGATAAACAGGATGGGTACAGCAGGTGTTTGAGAAGGGTCACCTTAACACCACCACAGGAGACACAATGTATTGCTGATGCCAATTATACTCTCCCGCTTCTCCTTCATTTATAAAATAAGGAGCTTCTGAGTGAGCTGTTTGGAAAAGCCAAAGCAGCCCAAGGCAGGAGAGCCTGGAGAACACGTGCTGCTAATCTCTCCAACAATTTAATACTGATCTGCTGTATGCCATGCAAAAATGAAGTCACCCTTTTAATGAAGTAAAACAAAATTACTCCTTCAGTAGCAGCTGAAACTTCCGATGATACACAAACAATCTTGGTTTATTTTTCATTCTGGGTAGACTGCAGAATTTTAAAAATCTGGTTCAACTGGTGCCTCATTCTTCCTGGAAGACCTAGTGCGGTGCTCCCACAGTAATGCAAGCTCAGACTAGTTATCTCCATGGATATCCAGCCATGTGCATCTGCATGTAGCCACCAAAAGATCTCCACTCCTAAAGCTTCAATAGCTCACTACTTCTTGGGAAGAGGGACTCATTCCTTAATTGCTTGTGTCAGGGCTCCTTTCAACTTTATTTAAAGCAGCTAATTTCACAGAAAGACAACGTGACTGTATGGACCAACTAGTCAGATGGGAATTTACATGATTTAACAACAGAGCCAAGAGCCAGCTGACAGTGCACGGCTGCTTTATGTACGACCTAACTGGACTGCCATTTGGCCCTAACATGGCCACCCTCTTTGAAACTGTGTTTTACTTGCAGTTTCAGCTTACCTGCCGGACCAAATTACTTAGGTACAATGCAAGAGGATTCACCAAATCACAAAAACAAGCCTAAATGACAGAGTTTTTAAATTCCAGAGATGTTACTGCCAGTGATTACCAGTTATTTATTCTCCATACTTTCTGCCTACATTCAATTGTTTTGAAAACATACCCCATAGATATATGTCCTTGGGAATCGATCCAGGTTCACACTCCCCTGCCTCAAACTTGGGAGATGTTAGATTACTGAAAAGTTTTGTCTTATTAAAATTGTAACTATTACGCAGACTACTTAGAACACCCTTACATTTTCAAAAGTACATGGAAACCTTAGACCCAATGACTCCAATTCCATTTGGAAATTTCAACAGCAGGTCTACAACAGTTCCCACACGAGAACACAGACTCAGAAGAATTAAGAAGTTATTAATTAATATTCATACCCATTTGTTTTTTCTGCTCCAGCAAGAAATGCCCAGTGTGCTAAGACTCCAAGAGAACCAGAAAGGAGGTCTCCCTGTCCACCACATCTCCGGTTGCTTCCTTCGTGACTGCAGACAAGTACTATAAACAGAGAAACCAAAAACAAAGTAATGTGCATTTTTTCTTCCATTGACAATGACGTGACTGTAGCTGTGAGGGTCAACCCCTGAGGCACACGGAGATCAACAGTGAGAGATTAATCACAGGCAGCAGCCTAGGTTGAAATGCACTGTTCTTAAAAAGAAATATTGCATTAACATTTAAAAAAATACCTTTCTAGTAACTTCTCAAATAACATCGCAGAACAGATACACTTTCTCCACTTCCCTCAGCCTGCACAGAAGATTCAGTCACTAATGAGTTCAGTGATTCATGAGAACTGCCACGATGGAGCAATCACCCCAAACTGGACCAGGTCCCTCCGCAAAGCCACTGCACAAACACAGCTCTCGAGTCTCGGACCTTCAGAGCTTACAAACGTAAAACCAGATGTTTTGCAGAGAGCAAATGCAAAATAGAACTAAAACCTCAAATCTTCTGCCATGCCCATCAGAGAGAGATTTTACAGAAAACAGCCTTTTCCTTAGGCTTTGTAAAAATCTTATGCAGGGATCTTTTTCTGACAATCACCAGTCCCCTCAGCATCCATGTACGTTTCCGTCAGCAGTGTCAGAATATCAGACGTTATATTTCTGTTTTAAATACACAAAGGACCTTGGTCAAACTGATCTCTCTGTGGAGCTTTAACTATGAAGACCATGCAAATGGTTTCACTAAATTTAACTCCTTTGTTCTCCACTCTCAACAAGCCCAAGCAGGAAGCCTGAAGGATACATAAGGCACACAAAAAGAAAACAACATCAATTCTGCTGCCCTCCTCCAAACTCTCTTGTGGGTATGTATCTATCGTTAGCTTTCTATCTTGCTAGGCTCTGAAAACGAACCCAGGAAAAAATTATTCTCCTCTCCTAGGAGAACACAAGAGCTGGCAGAGTTGTTGGTGGCCAAGGAGTGATCCTTAAGCATCTCCAGTCAGCTACCGCGGAGCTGCTCAGGTTCAGGACTATGCACACAATGGTTTCTGCACTCCTGAGCACGCCAAGCACACAAGCAAAGTATAAACCAAGATGTTGCTTGGACAACAGCTCTTACCTCAATTTTCTCGAGTGACCTGGGCTGGGTGTATGAACAGAGCAGCCCAGGCGTTTTAGAGGGAATACTATCTATCTTTTTAAAAGGAATTTTTCTCTTACAAAATAATGGGGAAAATGTGCACAAAATTTAAGGACTTGCAGGTCAACCTTCTCAAATAGCAAAAGGTAAAAAAACTACTTAACACAAGTAAATCCTTCCCAGTTTATTAGCATAGTTCATTTCTGCCTTTTGTTACTCAGTGCAGCGGAGAATTGTACTTCACTTCCATTTCCTAACGATTCTTCCAGCAGTAATTGCTGGGCTCATGAGGCCAAGCAGTTGTGCATTTTTGCTGCCTCTCAGAGGGCAAAGATTCATTAGTCACCACGAACACAGCAGACACCGCTGCAGCATTGCCAGCAGTTAATTTTCCCAATCATTCTTCTCCCCTCCCCCCTTCACCCCAAATTAAGATTCTGGATGTGTTTCTCAGTGAGGAATCGTTAATGTCAAATTTCACGAGTGTGATGCTCTTCTGAGTTAGCTATTTGAAGAAGGAATGCCCTTTCAGGTGGCTTTTTTTTTCTTTTTTTTTTTCTTTTTTTTTTTTTAATACAGTGCTTTGGAGAAATTACCTCTAATTCTGCTACTTTGAAGATGGTATCTCACAGGATTTTCACTTTGAGGGCTTGAACTCCTGGCAGGAGGCAGGATGGAAATCCTCTGTTCAAAAGCTTTGGGGCCTTCCGACTGACAGCTGAGCACAAGCCCCTGCTTATTAGCTGTATGTCACCATCTGCCACTATTCTGTAGCCCCACAACCTTCCAGTCAGTTTTGAGCTGTACAGGAAAGCAAGATCTCCTCAAACTGGGCCAATTATAATACCCCACTACAAAAGAAAAAAAAAAGTTGTCTTTTGTTTGTGTTTTTTTAAAAAGTAAGCCTCAAATATGTGCAGACTACCTCACAGGCAACAACAAAAGCAGACCTTTGTACTCTGCACAGAGATGCTGGAAAACAAATCCACACAATAGCTTCAAAGAAGCAGAACTACATGAACGTAACTTGAATGAGATAAGGGGGAAAAAGGTATAATGCTCCAGGAATTCTTGCACGGACGCTCAGCTCCTCAAAGAACATCGTAAAATAGAAGGATGATGAACATTAACACAGGCAATGAGAACAGGAATGAAAAACTTCTCTGAACTGAAGTCACTGTTAAGAGCTTTTTAAAAAAAAGAAGGAAGCCCCACACTATCATCAAGACAAACTGGCATATTGCCAAATCCACAACAAGCTTCCTGATGCTTTTCCCAGCCTTCTCCTAGAACACCAAAAATAGAACTGCTGCCTTCCCACTCTCCCAATCCAACAACCCCCACTAAATGTCTGTGACCCGCTGTGAAGGCAGCTCAAGCAGTTCTTTGAGGACCACGGGGGTGACGTACTTATACGCTGCACTGAACAGTGACAACCAGTGGCAACGTTACAAGCCCTCGATTAGACAGACATGACTGAATAGTCCGCAATGACGCCAAGAAGGCAGGTGGTTCTAACCCCTGGAGAGATGCAGAACCATGTATTTACATGAGGATGAAGCATTTTTTGGTCCATTGCTCAGTGAGGCCATTCAACTAGGGAAGAACATGTACATCAGAAAGCCTAGAAACTGTGGTTCTTGGAACAGCTGAGGAGGCCGAGATGACTGGATGCTGGACTAGAGGGGAACTGCAAAGACTGAAATCACCACAATCTGTCGATGTTGAAAGGCAGCAACTGGGGCCACTTAAGGTCAATTAGTCTGACACTAGTCCCAATCAAAATAATGGAGAGGTTCATCTATAGTTCAACTGACAGACTTTAAGAGATAGAAACACATGACCAGTGCTGACCCAAATAGGCTGTAGGGCCAGGGTGTCTTGTTGGTTTGTTTTTTTTTTAATAGGTTTGGGCAACCAGATCTGGCATTATTTCACAGGGTGATGAATCAAAAAAACCCCACCTCAGTATAATGAATAGACAGTCTTTTAATGAAAACTGATTTATGCTAAGTAACTTTCTGAAAAAAAAAAACAAAACAAAACAAAAAAACCCCCCAAAAAACAACAAACCCCAAACCAAACCAAAAAACCCCAAACAAACCCCAGCTCCCTAGAACTTATCCATGAAGCATGCATATACTATCATATGAAAGGGCTAGATGAAATAAAAATGTCATCACTGAAGAAATCACTGAATGAAGTATAGCAGGGACATCTGCTAGAGTCAGAACAACCACAGCCCTACTCAACAGTTTCAGCATAATCTCAGCAATTAAACAGCACATGGATACTGTCAGAGCTGTACACAGCAACTACAACACGTCTCTCACATAGTCACCTGGATTTCTTGCTTACCTAAACCCACAGAAACAATCTGTACTGAAATGTGAGTGCAACAGAAGCAAAAAAAATGAAGGCTGTCATACTGACAGAATACTGGAAAATAGAAACGCAAGAGTTTCATCAGGCTCCACACAATTCAAAACTCTGCCCCAGACCTCCTGGGTAACTATGGCCACGTCATTTGGTAGCTCTATGTTTAATACATTTCAGGCCATAAAATAAGTTCCTATCACTCCCTTTTCTACACTCCTTGAAGATAAGATAAACATTAGCATTTGGGGAAGCATTCAGACCATGGTGTCACACTTAACCATACCACTGTCAGCAAGTTTTAAGCTGAAAGAACTCCCAACCCAATCTGTGCTGGCAGATCAAAGCCCAGAAGAATGACCCATTTACGGGTATTGTATGCTTAATTTAAAAAATCCAGTCTGTTATGTAACTGAAAATAGCTGTCCTCTCTTTGAAATTCAGAATAAAAATCAGAATTTGGTAGTTTTGCTCAGATCAAGTTAAATGGGAAGCACAGATTCTGAAGCGGTTGTACCCACACAGTTGTCCTTACACCACCAGCTCCTAGACACGTTACAGTTAGAAAACCAAAGGCCCATGTCGTATAAAAAGTAATGTATGTCTGCATGTTCTTGATTCATCATGTTCACACAGTAGTGTAAAAAAAAAAAAAAAGGCCCATGGATTCACTTTTATGTTTGCATTTAGAACTCAGAATGTGAAATAGGGCTAGTTAAGGCTAAACATGTAATACTGCTGATGATAAAGAAGGCTAAAGAGTCTATGTGAAACATCAGATTTACTGAGACTGTAGATCAAAAGACAGCCTGGAGGTTAAAATTTAACTCCTGAATCTAGGATGTCCTGAACAAGTTT